ACATGCAAATGTAATCCCGAGCCCCGTCCACTGACCCTTGGGCTACACCCATCTCAAATCTTGTAAACTCCCTGCCTCAGCAGCGCTCCCCACAGATAGTCTTGCCTGCCTCAGCAGCTCTCCCGCTATATTTTTCACCTGATGTCGATCGCTTGTGGTGCGATCGAAACGTCGTGATATTGTCAATAAATTTTTTTATATTAATTTTGTTATTTTTCTATCCACGTGGCTTTACCGAAAGACCCAAAGAATAAGTAAACGCCAGTAACGTGTCCACTTTCTGAGTACGGCCGTCCATAAATGACGTTACGCGATTTTAGACGATTTTTGACCCTCCCCCCTCGTCACACGGCGTCACAAAAAGTCAGACCCCCCCCCCCCAAATATGACGTCACAAAGCTCTGCCCCCCCCCAAACCATATTTCCATTTTAAACATCAAACATGCTTCAAATCGCTTTAAAATATTGTCATTGTAGTGCGTATTTAATGTGGCGCTGCACTCTGATGTTGTAGGAGTGTTTATTTATTTAAAGTTGCGCATTTTGATGTGACGTCACATTTATCCCCCCCCCCCCCTCGTCACACATCGTCACAAAAAATCTGACACCCCCTCCCTTGGTGCGTGACGTCATTTATGGACGGCCCCTAATCTGGCACCAGTGCCAGAGTTGGGCGTGCAGGGTGTGGGGTGCGTGGGGGGGGCCAAGGTGGTGGTGGCTGGGTGGGTGGGGGGCGACTACTCCCATCGTCCCCACTATGTATGGAACTTCTTTCGCACCGTACGTAGGGCAACTGTGCCCTGTAGACAGACGAGCGGGCGGAGCGTGCCGTGGCGTTTCTGCTGAGCTTGCTGTAGATCCCAGGGTCTCATTGCCCTCCGGCGTTCGTGTTTAGTGCCCCCCAACAGCCACCATCCATCAGTCTGGGTGTTCTCATCTTATTTTAAAAGATTTACAAAGAGCCTCAGACAAGGCGCTTCGGATGAGGCCCATTTGTAAATCGTACGCGGGATTAACAATCTATGGGGTGAATGATGACGAATGGGTTCAACGAATGAATGGATTGGGGAGTTGATGAGTGGGAGCAAAACGTGAGTTTTGAGATTGCAAAGATTGTAATCCGTTACGATCTTGGAATTTTACGTAAGATCAGAAGCGTGTTTGTTTTTGTATGCGAGACGCAATAATTGCATTGTAACGGCTTTGACGAGAATCGGTGTTTTCGAAGATAATTCTGAATCGCTGGGCAGTAGTTGGCAAAGCAAGCGAAGATGAAGGTACAGCTCCCTCCCCTCCCTCGGCACAGCCTGAGCAAACGCTGCTCGCGAGCGTCGGTTCAGGGCTGGGCCCGGCCGCCTTTGTCTCCCGAAGCGCGCGATCTTGACACGCATACACAAAAGTTAACACTATACTGTACGCAGAGTCAAATAATTAATATGCAGGACTTTAATAGAAATGTAATTATACTATGGTTAGGCGTCATGAGGCATAATAACAGTGAAATGTTAATATTGACCGTGCTGCATTATCGATTTATGTGTAAATCCAATGCATTATGCCACATTATGTACGTATATAGAGGGTGTGTCTAAAACACAAGGTGCCTTAATATATCATTACAATGTGTGCGCTTGGTACATTCATTTACCTAACACATGTATATGCATCGTAACTATATTATTCATGGGATATGCCCAAATGAAACAGAACAGCTGATACATATTTTACAATCCTGTATTTCTCGGTGAGTTTAGATGTAGCCTGTACTGTATGTCCAAATGCATACATTTTTCTCCCCTTAAGTTAATTCGGTTGTGTATTATGGCAAATATTATATATCTATTGAAATAAAAGGGAAATTTGTGATTATGTGTATGTTCAAAATGTTTAGCGTACTTCCCGACATGCAACAAACTTGAAATTTGCCATGTGGGTACTTTCCAGACTGTACACCATGCAAAAATTATAAAAATACACTTTTTTTGGGGGGGGGAGCTCAATAATGCATTTAATTTTTTGCACGGCAAGTGAGCTGTGACGTAACATCTGTCACGTGACCCGCGCATGTGGAAGCGTCACGCATTGTAGTGTAGCGGTTAGCGCTACGCTGCGCTACGAACCCGGCAACCCCAGTTCGATTCCCGCTCACGGCCAACACCGGTGACGATTATTTGAACCGGTCCTGGGCCTCCCCTAGGTCGATTCAGTCTCAAACAATTAACTGGTGTGGTTGTGTGAACATCGCCACTGGGGAGACAAAGGCGGCCGGGCGTGGTGAATCCCAGTCCCGGGCGAAGCCGGGTAGTAGAGCTAGTTTACAATATATTAAATATTCAGTATTCAGTATTTCACTGATGTACGGTGTGGACAGCTGTGCAAAATTTAAATATAATCATCATTATCATCAGCAGCCATGGTCAATCCACTGCTGAATGAATATTTCCCCAAATCTATCTATGTTTTAGCATATGCTGTGAATAACAAATTAATGTTTGTTATATTCTCATGAACAGCGGCGTAGCACGGGCATCTTCATGTCTGTAGTGTTAGAGTGATTGTGAAGTCATGTCTAGGGAGTGTGCATGCTTTGATGTGTGTGTGCTTAGTGATGTCATCATCCCTAATCGGGGTTGTTGGGGTAGATCGCGTAAATAGAAACGTCGTGGTCGTGAAACCCGCCACCACCCGGCACAGGCAATTGGTAAAGTTTGTCACGTGAAGACAACGAGACAATTCGTTGCTAGTACAGCACGTGAACACCCTGGCTGATTGGCTGTGTCGGGTGGTGGCGGGATTAGCGACACATTTACATGCACGCGATGTGACCTCAAAATAAACTCTGTTATGGGTCATATTTATCGCGACAATGTCCGTGCACAGAATCATGCAATTCATATGTATTATTGGTTTTTTCGGTAAAGTCACGTAGAAGGGAAATAATACAATTATAAAAATAAAACAATAAAATTCTCACGACGTTTCTATTGCAACACAAGCAGCCGTCCTCAGTGAAGAAACTAGAGCTGTCGGAAAGACAGCGTCCCAATGTCTTTCCGACAGCTCTGTTCCTTCACCTGAGGACGGCTGCTTGTGTTGTGGCCGAAACGTCGTTAGAATTGTATTTTATTATGTTTTATTATTTATTATTTCCCTTTTACGTGACTTTACCGAAAGAACCAAGAATATGAATCCCTGCAGTCACGAAAACTTTAAATTAAAAAAATGCATATATAATTATGTATTTCGAATGTATCTCGATTATGCACGTCATCTGTACGCGATTTCGTGTATAGATGCGTTGCGTGTACGTGTGTATCGATGTGTGCATGTGTTTACGCGTGCATGCGTTTTGTGTTCATATGTAACGCAGTGTGGAGAGCGGTGGTGCAGTGGTTAGCCCTGCACCGCGCTACAAACCCAATAACGGTGGCGAATGTTCGACCTGCTACTGGGTATCCCCTAGGTCGACTCAGCCTAAAATGAGTACCTGGTGCGTTGTGTAAACATCGTCACTGGGTAGGATGTGGGGTGGGTGGCCAACAGTAGCACTTGCCCCAGCAGTGTGTTGAAGGCTTTCCCGGGAATATGTGCTTGCTTGTATTAACCCAAGGCCTTAGCCTTAGAGTCAACATTGGGGGGGACCAACTCTTCCAGGGTGTCTGGGGGTACCCAACCCAGAAAAATATCTATAGTTGAAAACTAATTTCCTGCCTAAAATATGAAAAAATTCACCCACACATGGGATGGACTTTTTATTTATTTTTACAACAATGTCTAATAGTGTATTGTATTATACATTGCTCTGTTTTAACTTTTTTACCATTTCTTGTTTCATTGTATGTAATGGCAGAGATTAGGGATTTATAAGGAACAACCATAACCACAATCATATAAACAGAAATCTATGCATTCATTTATATGAAGACAAGTCCAGATATTGTGGCCGAGGTTTAGCAAATTGTTGTTTTCATTTACATAGCATAGCAATTATATTTTATAGCAATATATTGAGGTTGGGACATTTTGAGCATATTTGAATATAAATTATAATTACGGCCTTGTATTAATCCCATGATGTGCCTGACACATATGTAGAAGTACGTGTCTGTAACGGTCTTCTCACTCAAACCCATGGCACCGGTCTGTCACACGACCTCCTGTAAAAGCAGCGAGCCTTCGGCACGCCGAGGGTGCACCTAGCCTGGCACAGACGCCCTGGTGACGTCACCGCCACTTACTGGCGAACTGCGCTTGTTGTTGTTATGACCACCGATAAACACGGACACGGCACAGCAACCACGCCCGGCCGCCTTTAAATGCCCAGTGTTGACATTTATATTGCACCAGGAACTCGTTTCGGGCTGAGCTGAGCTAGGGGGAGGCCGCGTACAGGTTTTTTCAGATATTCACCATTTCACAGGTGCTCGCTAACAATCACTTGCGCCGACAACCTACAGAAAAAGAGGCTTATATGGGGGGTGCTCGCCCTTGCACGTACAACAATCTATTACAAGGTGGTGCTTCAAAAACATGTGAACACTTCGGAGAATTCGCAACAACACCACGAGAAATCTGCTGGAAAAGATTGCAGGCACGCGTTGACAACGATGGCGAACAAGTGGTGAGACTCGTTGACTTGTTGAAGCTATTAACGCTACATTTGTTATCATGTTACAGTGTAGTATTAGCCGTTATTTTTCCATTAAAAACGAGAGTCCCGTGTAAGTGTTAACATTTTTTTGAAGCGCCCTGTATAGCAACATCCACGTGGATCTTGATTTGAAGCTTTCGTGACTGCAGGGATCCATACTCTTTGGTTCTTTCGGTAAAGTCACGTAGGTAGAAAAATAAAATAAATCACGACGTTTCGGGCGCAACACAAGCGAACGAACCAAAGAGTATGACCACATGGATATTCCACTATGTATGTTCCAATGTGCGTCGCGGGTGTTTGCACGTTTGCAGTGTCATCATCACACGCCCTGTGCAGGCGATCTCACCGAACATGCCCAGGTGTCCTTTGGTGATTGGGTTAAAGTCTCCGTAGGTCAGCAGGATGATGTGTGGAGCCATCCGTTCGCCCATCTCTGCACCCAGCAGAGCCACCACCACCAGCAGCAAATACCAGCACTGCAAACAGCACCAGCAGCACTGCCTACAGCAGCAATACCAGCACTGCAAACAGCACCAGCAGCAATACCAGCTCTGCCTAGAGCAGCAGCAATATCAGCACTGCCTAGAGCAGCAGCAGCAGCAATACCAGCACTGCCTAGAGCAGCAGCAATATCAGCACTGTCAGCAGCAGCAGCAATACCAGCACTGACTGCCTAGAGCAGCAACAGCAGCAACATCAGCACTGTCAACAGCAGCAGCTGCAGCAATATCGGCAGCGGCGCTGTGGGGTCCTCTCGTCAGCTGGGTGTGACGTCTGGGCGGTGAACCGATGTGGCACGGGCCAATCCGAGCACGAGGGGAGAGAAGGGGAGAGAGGAAAGGAGAGAGAGAGGCACACAGGGAGGGGTCGTGGGGGATGTAGAGATGAGAGAGAGGGGGGTGTAGGAAATGGGACAGAGGGGAGGGGGGAGAGGCAGGGTGATGCCCACTGGGTGATGAGGGAGATGAGAGCGGACAGAGACGTGGGGAGAGAGCAGAGAAGGGAGGGGGAGGGGGTGCAGTGCCTTGAGGATGGAGCGAGAGGGAGGGGGGAGGGGTGGACCCATTACGTCACCTCGGATGAGATTGCGGTGAGCCAGGGATGAGAGTCGCTAGTGATGCCAGATCGGAGGGATTCACCTCGTGGTCGGGGATGCCGGCAGCAGTGTGCGTGATGGGGATGAACGATTTTGGGAGAATGTCTAATTGCGATTTTTCTGAGATCGCGATTTGATTTGCGATAAAAAAAATGTAAGCCAAGCTTCAGCTCAATATTCATTGTGGAATGGATTTCGATTTACAGTATTCGTGACTACAGGGATTCATATTCTTGGTTCTTTCGTTAAAGTCAAGTAGAGGGAAAATAAGAATAAATATTTATTTTATTTTATTATTTCCCTTCTACGTGACTTTACCGAAAGAACCAATAATGTGTAATAGATGTAAAACATGTGATGGAGACTACCATCAAAATAATGCAATGATGAGAACTTACAAGATATGAATTGCTTCGAAAATGTATTTATTAAAATGTTTATTTGAAATAGAACAATCAAACATCGAACAATCGTTAATTTAAACAATAAAGTTATAATTATACAAAATAAAACAATTACAATTAGTAAAATGACTTTTAAAATCGCAGCCTTTTGCGATTGGCTAATCGCATTGCTTCAAATTGCGATTTCCATTTCAAATCGATTATTCGTTCAGCCCGAGTGCGTGGTTCAGTCCAGTTCATTTCAGTTCATTGATTAGGTATAGCCCTGTGAGCCATTCGGCTCTTGAATCGGGTGGTTCGCACGCCGGACTTGAAATCCACAGACGTCGCCGGCGATTCCCACCCCCTGGCACATCGCTGGGGGGCACATCGCTGCACTCAGCAGCAGCAGTGTGTGGGGGGGGCACATTGCTGCACTCAGCAGCAGCAGTGTGTGGGGGGGGCACATTGCTGCACTCAGCAGCAGCAGTGTGTGGGGGGGGGCACATTGCTGCACTCAGCAGCAGCAGTGAGTGGGGGGGGGCACATTACTGCACTCAGCAGCAGCAGTGAGTGGGGGGGGGCACATTGCTGCACTCAGCAGCAGCAGCAGTGAGTGGGGGGGGGGCACATCGCTGCACTCAGCAGCAGCAGTGAGTGGGGGGGGGGCACATTACTGCACTCAGCAGCAGCAGTGAGTGGGGGGGGCACATTACTGCACTCAGCAGCAGCAGTGAGTGGGGGGGGGGGGCACATTACTGCACTCAGCAGCAGCAGTGAGTGGGGGGGACACATTACTGCACTCAGCAGCAGCAGTGAGTGGGGGGGGGCACATTACTGCACTCAGCAGCAGCAGTGAGTGGGGGGGGCACATTGCTGCACTCAGCAGCAGCAGCAGTGAGTGGGGGGGGGGGGCACATCGCTGCACTCAGCAGCAGCAGCAGTGTGTGGGGGGGGGGCACATTGCTGCACCCAGCAGCAGCAGTGAGTGGGGGGGGCACATCGCTGCACTCAGCAGCAGCAGTGTGTGGGGGGGGGCACATTGCTGCACTCAGCAGCAGCAGTGTGTGGGGGGGGGCACATCGCTGCACTCAGCAGCAGCAGCAGTGTGTGGGGGGGGGGCACATCGCTGCACTCAGCAGCAGCAGTGTGTGGGGGGGGGGGCACATCGCTGCACTCAGCAGCAGCAGTGTGTGGGGGGGGGGGCACATCGCTGCACTCAGCAGCAGCAGCAGTGTGTGGGGGGGGGGCACATCGCTGCACCAGCAGCAGCAGTGTGTGGGGGGGGGGGGCACATCGCTGCACCAGCAGCAGCAGTGTGTGGGGGGGGGGCACATCGCTGCACTCAGCAGCAGCAGTGTGTGGGGGGGGGGGCACATCGCTGCACCAGCAGCAGCAGCTCGTGTGGGGGGGGGGGGCACATCGCTGCACTCAGCAGCAGCAGTGTGTGGGGGGGGGCACATCGCTGCACCAGCAGCAGCAGCTCGTGTGGGGGGGGGGGGCACATCGCTGCACTCAGCAGCAGCAGTGTGTGGGGGGGGGCACATCGCTGCACCAGCAGCAGCAGCTCGTGTGGGGGGGGGGGGGGGCACATCGCTGCACTCAGCAGCAGCAGTGTGTGGGGGGGGGGGGGGCACATCGCTGCACCAGCAGCAGCAGCTCGTGTGGGGGGGGGGCACATCGCTGCACTCAGCAGCAGCAGCTCGTGGGGGGGGGGGGGGCACATCGCTGCACTCAGCAGCAGCAGCGTGTGGGGGGGGGGCACATCGCTGCACTCAGCAGCAGCAGCTCGTGTGGGGGGGGGGCACATCGCTGCACTCAGCAGCAGCAGCTCGTGTGTGGGGGGGGGCACATCACTGCACTCAGCAGCAGCAGTGTGTGTGGGGGGGGGCACATCGCTGCACTCAGCAGCAGCAGTGTGTGTGGGGGGGGGCACATCGCTGCACTCAGCAGCAGCAGTGTGTGTGGGGGGGGGCACATTGCTGCACTCAGCAGCAGCAGCGTGTGTGGGGGGGGGGGCACATCGCTGCACTCAGCAGCAGCAGTGTGTGTGGGGGGGGGGGCACATCGCTGCACTCAGCAGCAGCAGTGTGTGTGGGGGGGGGCACATCGCTGCACTCAGCAGCAGCAGTGTGTGTGGGGGGGGGCACATTGCTGCACTCAGCAGCAGCGTGTGTGGGGGGGGGGGCACATCGCTGCACTCAGCAGCAGCAGTGTGTGTGGGGGGGGCACATCGCTGCACTCGCTGCACTCAGCAGCAGCAGTGTGTGTGGGGGGGGGCACATTGCTGCACTCAGCAGCAGCGTGTGTGGGGGGGGGGGCACAGCCGCCGATCGTCTCGTCGGCAGCTCGCCTGCGGTGGGGCGAAGTGTGTGGGGGGTAAATCCCCGCACTTGGCAAGCGTGGAAGAGTAGGCCGAAGTAGCCTCTCGGGCACTGCATCTTCTTATTCTTCTTGACCTGGGGGTGCACGCTGCACCCCCCTGGGGGGGGGGGAGTGGCGAGACGCGGCAAGATTTTTGTTTCGAAGGTAAATAATCGAAAACGCAGATTAAGCACTGGGCACGTCAAGTGCCAACTTTGTTTCATCCAACCCGATGTATGTATGGACGTTGCACGTGTTGTTGTTGTTTTACGATTGAGCAGCACGGGGGTGCGAGTCTGCAGTGAGGGTTCGCAGAGCCACTGCTCTGCTCGGGAGCTCCCTCGAGTCCTGGAGGACCTTCCACCACCAGTGGGCGTGAGCGGGCCACTTGCAGGGCTGCGCCCATATGTAGTAGCTACTACTACATATGTAGTAGTAGCTACTACTACATATGTAGTAGTAGCTACTACATATGTAGTAGTAGCTACTACTACATATGTAGTAGCTACTACTACTACTTATGTAGTAGTAGCTACTACATATGTAGTAGCTACTACATATGTAGTATGTAGTAGTAGCTACTACATATGTAGTATGTAGTAGTAGCTACTACTACATATGTACATATATAGTAGTAGCTACTACTACATATCAGAGGTGTGGACTCGAGTCATGTGACTTGGACTCGAGTCAGACTCGAGTCATGAATTTGATGACTTCAGACTCGACTTGGACTTGCATAACAATGACTTTGTCCCACCTCTGCTACATATACATATGTACTACATATGTAGTAGCTACTACTACTACATATGTAGTAGTAGCTACTACGACATAGCGTGTCTAACACGCCCCCCTCAGTGTGTGACTCTGGCTCTGACACGAGCCAGTGCCTCCCCAGCCATTGACCTCACCGCACGCCACTGATGTGTGTGATGTGCGTGCGACCTACGTACTCGGCCGTGCTAATCGGAGGTGCGTTGGTGATGGACAACCAACGAAACTCACACAAACGCAGTTCTAAATCGACACGTTCACGAGAGGCATTCAGAGTTGGGGAGGGGGGGGGCACGCACAGAAGTCACGTGATTTGCCAGAGGCTTGCGCTGACTCAGCCGTAAAGAAACGCTTGTCCCCTTTGCTTTGAGTGAACATGAAAGTCACGGGGGGATCGATGGTGGGGTGGGGGAAGGGCCAGCGAGCCCTTGGCCACCATGGGGGAGGATGAGCTGGTCGCTGTGGTGGCACGGCGTGAACCACAGCGTGTCTGTGTGTCTGTGTGTGTCTGTGTGTGTGTGTCTGTGTGTGTGTGTGTGTCTGTGTGTGTGTCTGTGTGTGTGTGTCTGTGTGTGTGTCTGTGTGTGTGTCTGTGCGTGTGTGTATGTGTGTGTCTGTGTGTGTGTCTGTGCGTGTGTGTGTGTCTGTGTGTGTCTGTGCGTGTGTGTGTCTGTGTGTGTGTGTGCGTGTGTGTCTGTGGGTGTGTGCGTGTCTGTGTGTCTGTGTGTGTCTGTGTGTGTGTGCGTGTCTGTGTGTCTGTGTGTGTCTGTGCGTGTGTGTGTCTGTGTGTGTGTGCGTGTGTGTCTGTGGGTGTGTCTCTGTGCGTGTATGTGTCTGTGCGTATATGTGTGTCTGTGTGTGTGTCTGTGTGTGTGTGTCTGTGTGTGTCTGCGCGTGTGTGTGTCTGTGCGTGTGTGTCTGTGCGTGTGTGTGTCTGTGCGTATATGTGTGTCTGTGTGTGTGTCTGTGTGTGTCTGCGTGTGTGTGTGTCTGTGCGTGTGTGTGTCTGTGTGTGTGTCTGTGCGTGTGCGCTACGAACCTGGCGACACGGGTTCGATTCCCGCTCACGGCCAACACCAGTGACGATTATCTGAACCGGTCCTGGGCCTCCCCTAGGTCGACTCAGCCTTAAATGAGTACCCGGTGCGGTGTGTAAACATCGCCACTGGGGAGACAAAGGCGGTCGGGCGTGGTGCTGGCCACCCACCCCCTCGTGTACCGTTCCGGCCTTCATAGGTGCTCGCTAACAGCACTTGCCCCTACAGTCTATTAAGGCTATACGGGGGATCTTTGTTCTTTGTTGTGTGTGTGTCTGTGCGTGTGTGTGTCTGTGCGTCTGTGGGTGTCTGTGTGTGTGTGTCTGTGTGTGTGTCTGTGCGTGTGCGCTACGAAGCTGGCGACCCGGGTTCGATTCCCGCTCACGGCCAACACCTAGTGACGATTTTCTGGGCCTCCCCTAGGTCGACTCAGCTTCAAATGAGTAGCTCGTGTGATGTGTGAGCATCGTCACTGGGGAGGCAATGGCGGCCGGGCGTGGTGTTGGCCACCCACCCCCTCGTGTGCCGTGCCGGCCTTCATAGGTGCTCGCTAACAGCACTTGCCCCAATAGTCTGTTCAGGCTAGACGGGCGATCTTTGTCTTTGCACTCAAATTCCCCCCCCCCCCCCCCAATAAAGTCGATGTAGGCATTGTGTGGGGGGTGGGGGGGGTCTCCCTGTGTGAATGTGCCTCTGTGCGTGAGTGGGGAGCAGAAGGCGAGCGGACGGGGGAGCGGTGGTGAAGCGGTTAGGGGCCGTCCATAAATGACGTCACGCGATTTTGGACGATTTTTGATCCCCCCCCCTTCGTCACACGGCGTCACAAAAAGCCCGACCCCCCCCCCCCCTCGAATATGACGTTACAAAGCTCTGCCCCCCCCACCCTCCCAGAAAAAATAAAACATGCTTCATATCGCTTTAAACTATTGTCATTGTAGTGCGTATTTAATGTGGCGCTGCACTCTGATGTTGTAGGAGAAAACATTTATTAAAACGTCTATTTAATTAAGTAGAACATGGTGTCTATATTTATTTAATTAAAGTTGCGCATTTTTACGTGACGTCACATTTCTCACCCCCCCCCCCTCGTCACACATCATCACAAATGTCTGACCCCCCCCCCCCCCTTAGGTGCGTGACGTCATTTATGGACGACCCCAGGGCCTCCCGAGGAGTTCCATTCCCACTCACGGGCAACACCGACGAGGATTATCAGAACCGGTCCTGGGCCTCCCCTAGGTCGACTCAGCCTCTAATGAGTACCCAGTGCGGTGTGTAGTAAACATCGCCACTGGGGAGACAAAGGCGGTCCCGGCGTGGTGCCGGCCACCCAACCCACCCCCTCGTGTGCCGTGCCGGACTTTTAAAAGTGCTCGCTAACAGCACTTGCCCCAACGATCTGGAAAGGCTACACGGGGGATCTTTGTCTCGTGAGAGAGCCCGAAGCTGGTGAAGGAAGCTGCTGGGCAAGTTGGAGGCAGTCGTCCTCCAGCACGGACGACGCTCACAACAACGAGCGGAAGGCCGGGCGGATAAAACACAGCGAGTTGGCACAGTAGGGGGGCACGGCTGGTGGTGCATCTGCCGGTCATCTCAGTCAGTCAACCCATGCCACGTGCTCTGTCTGCCCTGTGACCTCCTGCCGACACCTCACGTGGCCTCGGGCTGAACCTAGCCTGGCACAGGCGCCGTGGTGACTCAACCGACACTTTGTTGAGAGAGCGGCGTGCAAAACAGAAGCACTGGGCGGCCGGGCGTGGTTGCAGGCCACACCACCCCTTATTATGCCGTGGCGGCCTTCATAGGTGCTCGCTAACAGCACTTGCCCCAACAGTCAATGTCGGATATACGGGGATCTTTGTCTGTGTAGGGGTGGGAGGTAGGGGATGGGGGTAGTTTTTTTTTGCATTTGCCCCAAGGTCTATAATCCTGAACAGGGGGGGTCTTTGTCGCTGTGTTGTGTGTGAATGTGCAGCTGTGTGGGCTTGTGTGTACATGGGTGCGAATGCCTACACTCACACGCAAGTGTGTGCGTGTAAATATTCAGCTGTGCGTATTTGTGCGTGATTATGCAGTTGTGTGTATTTGTGTGTGTGAGGAGGAAGTCTCACCCCCTTTGAGTGGCTGGCTGAGGTGCCATCCGTTGATGAAGTACTGAAGGTGATCCAGAGTCTGAGACAAGGAAAGGCACCGGGCAGAGATAATTTCCCAAGCGAAATGCTCAGGGAGGGTGGCGTTTGTGCACAGACTGCCCTACATGACATCATAACAACAGTCCGGACCACTGGACGGGTTCCGCAGGATTGAAAGGATGCCCTGGTGGTCCCCCTCTTTAAGAAGGGGGACCGCACAGAATGTAACAACTACAGGGGCATCTCACTCCTCAATGTTTGGGAAAGGTCCTGGCAAGGATTATTCAGCATCGCCTTGCTAGGCACGCTGAGGAGAGGCTTGCGGAGCCCCAATGCGGTTTCAGGAAAGGGCGGTCCTGCACAGATGCCATATTTTCTGTCCGTCTGCTATAGCAGAGGTGTAGGGAATTCCAACAAGACCTACATCTCTGCTTTCATCAGTTGCGTAACACTGTGTGAAAGCTACCTGGTCTGTCGTTCTGCACGAAGCTTCGGGTCTTCTCTGCCACAGTCATTCTTTTCCTTCTCTACGCTTGCGAAACGTGGACCCCCCTAATGGATCATCGTCGCCGGTTAGAAACATTTAGGCTGGCCTGCCTACGATCAATCCTGGATTTAACCAGGCTGGATTGTGTGAGGAGCTCACAAATCTTCGAAAATCTGGACAAAGTCCCATCGGTAAGCTCCTCCGGCAGACAAGGCTGCGTTGGCTAGGCCATGGAGCCCGCATGTCCAATCACCGCATGCATAAACAGATTTTGTTCGGCCGGATCGAGGGGGCTAAACGGGCGCGGCACGGGCTAGAAAAGAGATGGAGTGATGTGGTACAGGAGAATTTGGAGCTGAGTGGACTTGCCGGTGACTGGTACCAGCGGTGTCAAGATCGGCCTCTGTAGGGGAGGCTCGTGAAGGAGGCTAATGGGCAGTTGGAGGCAGTCGCCCTCCAACAACAACAGAAGGCGGAGGAGCGACGCTCACAACAACGAGCGGAGCGCCGGGTGGCTAAAGCACAGCAAGTTGGCACAGTAGGGGGCACAGGTGGTGCATCAGCCAGTCATCTCAGTCATCTTGGTCAGTCGACCCGTGGCACCTGGGTCTGCCCCGTGACCTCCTGCCAGCGGGCGCTCGACACTTCACGTGGCCTCAAGGTGCACATAGCCTGGCACAAGCTTCGTGGTGACGTCACTGCCAATGGCGGTTGTTGTTGTTGATTGTGAATATGCAGCTGTGTGAACACATCGCTACTGCTGCTGCTGTCGTCGTGCGCGTGAACAGCCACGGAGACGGAGCGGCAGTAGCCACTGCCTAGGCGGAGTTTGACTTCTCAATTGTAAACTACTTACACTTCATATGCTTGGGTCTTTCGGTAAAGTCACGTAGATAGGTTCAAAGAAAATAACAAAAAATTATCTATCTACGCGACTTTACCGAAATACCCAAGAATATGAATTCCTTCAGTCACGAAAGCTTTAAGTCAAGATGTTACTTACACACAAGTTACACGTAAGTTAATTAAAGTTATGGGCGGGGCATTGCCCCCCTCCCCTCCTCGTGCCCCCCCTCCCCCCTGGCCACCTCCGCCCATGGCAGGCAGAGAGAGCAACTCAGTGCCCAGCGTGCGCCCTGGGGGTCGGGGGAAGCGGGGGGCGAGAGGGACACGGTACAGAGATGTCAAACTGGGATAAGGCGGGCGGGGTGGGGGTAGGGGTGGGGGTAGGGGGGGTGGGAGGAGGGGTGGGGGTAGGGGGGGAGCAGGGGTGGGGGGAGTGGGTGGGGGTGGGAGTAGGGGTGAGGGTAGGGGGGGGTGGGGGTAGGGGGGGTGGGAGTCAGAGTGGGGATAGGGGGGGTGGGAGTAGGGGTGGGGGTGAGTGGGTGATGGTGGGGGTAGGAGGGTGGGGGTGGGGGTGAGTGGGTGGGGGTGAGTGGGTGGGGGTGGGAGTAGGGGTGGGGGTGAGTGGGTAGGGGTGGGTGGGTAGGGGTGGGGGTGAGTGGGTGAGGGTGGGGGTAGGAGGGTGGGGGTGAATGGGTGGGGGTGAGTGGGTGGGGGTGGTAGTAGGGGTGGGGGTGAGTGGGTGGGGGTGGGAGCAGGCCCCACTGGGTGAGTGTTTGGAATTTTTGTAGAGAGAGAGAGAGAGGTGGGGTTGGTGGGGGGGTAACACAAAAACCAACCTCTCCAGCTCTCCCCGTCCCATTGGCCGGGTTCAACACCAACCACCCAGCGTCGACGGTTTGTTGCGTGACCCCCTCCCCAGCCGAGGTCCTCCCTCTCTACCCATTGGTCGTCTGGGAGGCCCAAGAGGGCAGTGTTCACGTTTCAAAGTGGCCAGAGCACCAAGAATAAGAAGAAGACTCAATCGCGTTCACAGAGCCCGGCCAACAGTTCCAATCTACCCCTCCCCCCCGGTTAATTATACATCGGCAAATCGTCGCTCACGGTGGCGATTTGCATCGTGGCAAAGCGCTGAGGAATTCACCACATTGTCGGCCGCCCTGCCCCCCTCCCCCAGAGAGTTGAATCTACAACTTGACATCCGTTCTGGGGCTTGCTGCTTCTCCTCCCTTTACACATCGAGTGGCCCCCCTCGCCGATCGGCGTTGACCCCCACGAATGCCGAGGGGATGAAGTGAGGAGGAGGTGGTGAAGGTGGTGGTGGTAGAACAAGAGGAGGTGGAGGAGGTGGTGCTGCAGAAGGAGGTGGACAAGGTGGAGGAGGAGGTCCAGGAGGTGGAGGAGGAGGTGGGACAGGAGCAGGACGAGGTCACCGCACATCAAAGCCTCGGGAAGGATTTTGCCGTCAGGAATCGGACAGAGGCACGAGGTAAGGGTTCTGTGTGTGTGTCTCACCTTTGTATTGTTATTGTGTCTTACCTTTGTATTGTGTGTGTGGCTCACCTTTGTATTGTGTGTGTGCCTTACCTTTGTATTGTGTGTGTGTATCTCACCTTTGTATTGTGTGTGGCTCATCTTTGTATTGTGTGTGTGCCTTACCTTTGTATTGTGTGTGTGTATCTCACCTTTGTATTGTGTGTGGCTCATTTTTGTATTGTGTGTGTGTCTTACCTTTGTATTGTGTGTGTCTCACCTTTGTATTGTGTGTGTCTCACCTTTGTATTGTGTGTGGCTCACCTTTGTATTGTGTGATTGTGTAGCTTGTCATTGTATTGTGTAGCTTGTCATTGTATTGTGTAGCTTGTCATTGTATTGTGTAGCTTGTCATTGTATTGTGTAGCTTGTCATTGTATTGTGTAGCTTGTCATTGTATTGTGTAGCTTGTCATTGTATTGTGTAGCTTGTCATTGTATTGTGTGGCTTGTCATTGTATTGTGTAGCTTGTCATTGTGTAGCTTGTCATTGTATTGTGTAGCTTGTCATTGTATTGTGTAGCTTGTCATTGTATTGTGTAGCTTGTCATTGTATTGTGTAGCTTGTCATTGTATTGTGTAGCTTGTCATTGTATTGTGTGCGAGTCTATGCGCTGCTGCGGCTCAAATTGTTTTAAATCGTCAGGTGTGTATAGATGATGATGGTGATGATGGTGATGATGATGGTGATGATGGTGGTGATGGTGGTGATGATGGTGATGATGATGATGGTGATGATGATGGTGATGATGGTGATAATGGTGGTGATGATGATGGTGATGATAATGGTGATGGTGGTGATGATGATGGTGATGATGATATGATGGTGGTGATGATGATGGTGGTGATGATGATGATGGTGATGATGGTGATGGTGGTGATGATGATGATGGTGATGATGATGGTGATGATGGTGATGATGGTGATGCTGATTTTGCGTGACTTACATAACAACGCGTTTGTGAATGTGGTGGTGTCACGGCCACCGCACGAGACTCGCGAGCCAGAGGTCCGTCGGTTCGAGTCCATGTCACCGGCGCGGCCGTTAAACAACGGGGAGGGGGCGAGAGTTTCCTGACCCCCCCCCCAAAACCACCCCAGCCCCCCCCCCGTCTCTGTCCACCCAGCCGCAGTGTGAATGGGTTAATCCCCCCCCCCCCGGCCCCCCACTTGCGCAAGAGCGCAGAAGCGTGGCCACCACATCGACGCCTCTACGTAAGGAACGAGGCAGGTGGACTTCTCCACAAATCTGGCTGTTGCCTGATGAAGCTGGTTGTAATTACTGGCGAAACGTCGTACTTCAGATTGTAAATGTTGTGGCTTGGCTCTCCAACACACAACCTGTGTGTGATGGACTAGTATACTACACTATACACTACACTACTATACACTACACTATACACTACACTACTATACACTACACTATACACAATTATACACTATACACTACACTACTATACACTACACTACTATGCACTATTATACACTGACTACACTATACACTACACTATACACTACACTATACACTACTATACACTACACTATACACTACACTATACACTACTATACACTACACTATTATACACTACACTACTATACACTACACTACTATACACTACACTATACACTACACTACTATACACTACACTATACACTACACTATACACTACGCTACTATACACTACACTACTATACACTATACACTACACTACTATACACTACACTATACACTACACTACTATACACTACACTATACACTACACTACTATACACTACACTATACACTACACTATACACTACGCTACTAAACACTACACTACTATACACTACACTATACACTACACCATACACTACACTACTATACACTACACTACTATACACTACACTATACACTACACTATACACTAGACTACTATACACTATACTACTATACACTACACTGTACACTACACTACTATACACTACACTATACACTACACTACTATACACTACTATACACTACACTGTACACTATACACTACACTATACACTACACTACTATGCACTACACTGTACACTACACTACTATACACTACACTGTACACTACACTATACACTACACTATACACTACACTGCTATACACTACACTGTACACTATACACTACACTATACACTACACTATACACTACACTACTATACAATACACGAAACACTACACTACTATACACTACACTGTACACTATACACTACACTATACACTACACTATACACTACACTATACATTACTATACACTACACTACTATACACTGCACTATACACTACACTACTGTACACTACACTCTACACTACACTATAAACTACACTATACACTATACTATACACTACAATACTATACACTACACTATACACTACACTATACACTACACTATACACTACACTACACACTAGTGCTGTACTAGAGACGAATTGTTCACGTTCTGTTTACGTGACAACCCTTACTAGTTGGCCGTGTCGGGTGGTGGCGGGTTTTAACGACACATTAATATATTACTTACGCGATCTGACCCAAAAAAACCTCTATTATGGATGATGTTGGTCGCGAAACCCACGACTTGTTAGACTGAATGGGTTCTACGTGACTTTACCGAAAGAACCAAGAAGAGGGTTCACCGCAGTGAGTTCATTGGGCAGGTCGAGCACGGCGGGGGGTAAAGCGTGGAAACTTTTAGCTTTTTCAATCCGTTGCGCCCCTAGAATGTGGAGTCGCGCGGGGCGATCGTGACCACGATTGGGGTCTTTAGAGGGGGGTGCTGCCCCCCCCCACGCCCCCCCCGCCCCGCCACTGACGGAGCCCAACGTCTGGAACGTCGTGCCGAACGAAGGAACGCGCGGCAGCGGAGACGAGATGCCAGAGGAGTTTGGGGCGGCTCATAATCGGTGGTGAGGACTAGCCCGAAGCCAGCGTGGTGACTCTGACATGTGCCAAGTGTCATCGCGTAGCTGCCAACCCCTTGTCAGTGACCCTACCTCGTTACAGACCAATCACGGGGCCCTATCGGTCACCCCCTTGCCCCTTACAAGTCTCAAAGTCCCATCATCACAAGGGAGACACACACATAAATAGACGCATTTTTTTCACGTCATTGTGCCCGTATTGAAACGGCTGTACGCGGTATGGATCTGATTACTCAATTCCCCCGTACGAGAATACGGGGTAACCCGTATGGGTTGATAGGTGTGCTATCACTATCACTATCCATAGCACTATCCAGAGCCCTAGCCCGAACACTATCCTTATCGGACACATCTGACAACCCCTTATCAGTGCCCCTACCTTAGTACAGACCAATTCAGACCCTATCGATCACCCCCGTGCCCCTTATAGATCTCAACGTTCAGCCGACAAAGTCCCATCATCACAAGGGTAGAAACACACGCAATTAGACGCATTTGTTCACGTCGTTTTGCCCGTATTGAAACGGCTGTACGCGGTATGGACCTGATTACTCAATTTCCCTGCACAAGGCCACGGAGCAAGCCGTATGGGTTGACGGGGTGTGTGAGCAGTAGGGCAAGTGGGGTTGCTTGGACCTGCATCTATGTCCTGGAGGCTTCCCCAATATTCGAGAGAAAACTCCGTACTGACCGTGCGTGGTGAAGTATGGTCACCTCGAATGAAGTATGCTCAATGCAGTTGGCTCATTCGAGGTGGCGTGTGGGAGGTCACTCAGCAAGCAGTGGCGTCACACAAGTCTCCGTTTAAAAACACATTCGAAGGGACTTTCCCTCTCCCCCCAAACAAAATCTAAAAAATATAAATCCTTAAAAAAGGTATCCTTGAAACTAATTGTAATTCTTAAAAAAATAATCCTTAAAAATTGTTATTCTTAAAAAAAGTTATCTTTAAAAATATTGTAATCCTTAAAAAATTGTAATCATTAAAAAGGTAATCCTTCAAAAATTGTAATCATTAAAAAGGTAATCCTTAAAAAAAATTATCCTTAAAAAAATAGTAATCCTTAAAAAAAATTTAGTGACTTTATTATAATGAAAGTCGAATAAACATTTTAACGACGACAGCCAGGTCACGCCGTGCTCATGCGCACGCCGACAAACAGCCAGCGCTTTCGTCACTCCACTGCTGGATGATTTCCCCAAACCGGGTACGGTCACGGCGGGGGTGGAGTGGCGGGACCTTTGACCATACTTCACCACGCACGGAGAGCTGCCCCTTTGAGTAATCTCGCCACCCGAGAAGGCAGCCTGAGCCATCTGCCTGGTGAATTATTGAAAACGGCCGACACTGTACCAGCCCCCGCTGCTCCTAGCCCGGGTGCGGGCGGCAGGAATGTGGAATTCAAATGTGGCACTCCACGATTTGAATGTTGCATGGGGGACCGCGCCATATCTGCGCGCGTCATGGGCGGGAGAAAGCAAAACAACCACGCGCCTCTTCTTGCTTCTTTCGGTAAAGTAATCACGTAGAAGGGAAATAATAAAATAATACAATTAAACATTCAGACGCTGTCTTCCCGACAGACCTGTTCTTCACCTGAGGACGGCTGCTTGCGTTGTGGCCGAAACGTCGTGAGAATTGTATTTTATTATGTTTTATTTTTATTATTTTATTATTTCCCTTCTACGTGATGACTTTACTGAAAGAACCAAGAAGATGAATCCCTGCGGTCACGAAAGCTTTACATCGAAATTTAAGCACGAGCCTCTCTGCCCTGCTGTGTCACGAGTCTCATCCATTCGACTCGTTTTAGCCACAAACGAGGCGTTTCGATAGACGTTTCGGGCACACCCCCCCCCCACCCACCACCCGTTTTGGCCGAACAAATGCTTCGCAACGGCACGAAATAAAAAAGACGCGCGTGCAATACTGTATAGTGTGCGGAAGGGCCCGTTGCCCGAAACGTCGCGTGATTTTGTGTAACGTTGTCCGTGTGAGACATCGGACATCAGGAGTGAGGCAGGGGTGAGGTTGACAATGCGGTGACGTGTGTGCGTCTTACAGACGGTGGCATTTTTGTTTTAACATCGTCATCATCATCGTCATCATCATCATCGTCATCAGCCACGTTGAATCCACTGCTGGATGAGTGTCTCTCCAATCAGTCCACAGCATTCAAAACTTTAAAAAAAAAATTTCAATCGGAATCGCGCCGAGGGATAACATTCGGTGCCAACGCTGCGACGCAGCGAAACGCGCCAACGTTGGGCGGACGTTCGTTGGCATGAGACGAACGTCGGGCCCGGTGCAGCGAAACGTCGGACACGGCGCACCCTAGAGCTGCCCGCACTCTCTCCTCGCCACGGCCACGCTGGCGCGGCGAAGCTTGCTCGCGTTGTGGTGGTTACGTTGTGGTGGTTACGTTGTGGTGGTTACGTTGTGGTGGTTACGTTGTTGTTGTTACGTTGTGGTTACGTTGTGGTGGTTACGTTGTGGTGGTTACGTTGTGGTGGTTACGTTGTTGTTACGTTGTGGTGGTTACGTTGTGGTGGTTACGTTGTGGTGGTTACGTTGTGGTGGTTACGTTGTGGTGGTTACGTTGTGGTGGTTACGTTGTGGTGGTTACGTTGTTGTTACGTTGTGGTGGTTACGTTGTTGTGGTTACGTTGTGGTGGTTACGTTGTGGTGGTTACGTTGTGGTGGTTACGTTGTGGTGGTTACGTTGTGGTGGTTACGTTGTTGTTACGTTGTGGTGGTTACGTTGTGGTGGTTACGTTGTGGTGGTTACGTTGTGGTGGTTACGTTGTGGTGGTTACGTTGTGGTGGTTACGTTGTGGTGGTTACGTTGTGGTGGTTACGTTGTGGTGGTTACGTTGTGGTGGTTACGTTGTGGTTGTTACGTTGTGGTGGTTACGTTGTGGTTGTTACGTTGTGGTGGTTACGTTGTGGTTGTTACGTTGTGGTGGTTACGTTGTGGTTACGTTGTGGTGGTTACGTTGTGGTGGTTACGTTGTGGTTGTTACGTTGTGATTGTTACGTTGTGATTGTTACGTTGTGATTGTTACGTTGTGGTTGTTACGTTGTGGTTACGTTGTGGTTGTTACGTTGTGATTGTTACGTTGTGGTTACGTTGTGGTTGTTACGTTGTGATTGTTACGTTGTGGTTACGTTTTGGTTGTTACGTTGTGGTGGTTACGTTGTGGTTGTTACGTTGTGGTTGTTACGTTGTGGTTACGTTCAGCCTTCGACGCGGCATAAATCCTTTCCCACATTCACCCCCCCCCCCCTTTCATCCACCCCACTCCTCCCAACAACCCATTCATTCATTCACCATTCATTCACTCATTCACCATTATTCATTCATTTCTCCGCCTCAATCCACTGCCTGCAATAGAGCTCAGCTGGGCAGCTGCATCGGAATGAATTTGTGGTGGGGGGTGGGGTGAAAGGGGTGGTGCGTGGACGATGGTGATGGTGGGGTGATGGGGTTGGTGGGTGGTGAGAGGTGGTGGGGGGGTGATGGGGTTGGTGGGTGGTGGTGGGGGGGTGATGGGGGTGGTGGGTGGACGATGGTGATGGTGGTGGGGGGGTGATGGGGTTGGTGGGTGGACGGTGGTGGGGGGGTGATGGGGTTGGTGGGTGGATTTCCGTGTCGCTCACTGCTCACCTGTTCGTGAGCAGCTGCGCGCGCGTGGCTAGAAATCTGCGCAGCCCGTTAGTATGCCGCCTGCATTTACATGCCACGACGAAGGCCCGTTGCCCGAAACGTCGCCTGTTGTCCTTGTAAGGGCACAGCGTTGTTGTTGACGACGGATGCGTCGAGTCGATTCGTCTGGAGGGGAAATCTGTCTCTGTGTGTCTCTGCCTTCTCGTCTGCCCATCGGTTAGAAGCTGGTACGACCCCAAGTGCGTTTACACAACAACAAACGCCACCACCACCACAACTACCGCCACCACTACCACCACTGCCACCACTACAGCCACCACCACTACAACCGCCACCACAACCACTACAACCGCCACCACCACCGCCACGACCACCACCACTACACCACCACAACCACCACGACCGCCACTACACATCTGGTCATGATTAACGTCAGCCGTTGGCATTTGGACTCGGAAGCCAAACCCCCCTCACCCCTCCCTCTCTCCTCCTCCTCCCTCCTCCCTCCCCCCTCCTCCTCCCTCCCTCCCTCCCTCCTCCCCCCTCCTCCTCCCTCCCTCCTCCCCCCTTCTCCTCCTCCCTCCTCCTCTCTCCCTCCTCCCTCTCCCTCCCTCCCTCCTCCTCCCCCCTCCTCCTCCCCCCTTCTCCTCCTCCCTCCTCCTCCCTCCCTCCCTCCTCCCCCCTCCTCCTCCCCCCTCCTCCTCCCCCCTTCTCCTCCTCCCTCCTCCTCCCTCCCTCCCTCCTCCCCCCTCCTCCTCCCCCCTCCTCCTCCCCCCTTCTCCTCCTCCCTCCTCCTCCCTCCCTCCCTCCTCCCTCTCCCTCCCTCCCTCCTCCCCCCCTCCTCCTCCCTCCCTCCTCCTCCCTCCCTCCTCCCTCTCCCTCCCTCCCTCCTCCTCCCCCCTTCTCCTCCTCCCTCCTCCTCCCTCCCTCCCTCCCTCCTCCCCCCTTCTCCTCCTCCCTCCTCCTCCCTCCCTCCTCCCTCTCCCTCCCTCCCTCCCTCCTCCTCCACGCCTTCACGCTCTGAGTCAAACCCTGGGCACGATTTGAATCCAAACATCTGACGACAAACAACAAGACACATCTCAACAGCAGGAAAAGGGAGGAGGAGCCAGGAGTCGTAACCTTTAAAAAAATAAATAGTTTTAGTTATTTTTTAAACGGCATCTGTCGCCCAATCGGATGCCAGATCCATCGGGGAGATACGCAAGGAATGAGGATGATGATGGTCGTGGTAATGATGCTGGAACACGCCCAGAGTGGGATTTGTACGTGTTTTCTCTTGATGGCCCAGGTTCCTGTTTGTTCAGCAGATCTTTTCTTTTCGCGAGCGAGTAGTTGAGTAAACGGGCTCGCCCCGGAGAAGAACCCACGACACTAATGATTATGATAAGTCTAGCTTTACTACCCGGCTTGGATTCACTACGCCCGGCCGCCTTTGTCCCCCCAGTGGCGATGTTCATACACCACACCAGTTACTCGTTTGAGGCCGAGTCGACCTAGGGGAGGCCCAGGAGCGGTTCAGATAATCGTCACCGGTGGTGGCCGTGAGTGGGAATCAAACTCGGGTCGCCAGGTTCGTAGCGCTAACCGCTGTGCCACCGCTCCCCACACTCTACCACCACCACCACAGCCTTAGCTGCGGTGTGCACATGTACAGCTGCTGGCTCGACAGAGGGGTGGCGCTCTCTGTGGGATCGTGCCCCTTGTGTGCAGAGCCATCACTCTCAACTCTGCTCGTCGCTCAGCGGACGTGGGGACGTTGGGCCCAGTGTTGGGCCCACGTTAGCTCAACGTTGTGTCAACGTCGGGGCCCACGTTGGGCCCACGTTAGGCCCACGTTGTGGACCACCGCCGCCCGGCGTTGCGTGTTCACGGAGGCCGCTGCGTCTGCGTGTGTCTCCTCCTCAGGCCCCCCCCCGATGGCCGAGGCTCCGGTGAGGTTCGCGCGAGTCAAGCGCCTGCGGCCCCTCTCGGCCCACGACGCGACGGCGGTGGGGACGCGAGCGCCGGCGCGGTCGCCGCGGTTACCGGGGCGGTCACCGCGGTTGCCGGGGCGATCACCGCTGGCACAGGGGCGATCGACGTGGTTGCCAGGACGATCACCACGAGTACCGGGGCGATCACCACGGTTGCCGGGACGATCACCGCGGTTGCCAGGGCGATCACCACGGTTGCCGGGACGATCACCGCGGTTGCCGGGGCGATCACCGCGGTTGCCGGGGCGATCACCACGAGTCGACCGCACGCGCAGGCGCCAGCACGTCCCCTACACCGGCACCTGCGGCAGAGGTGAGGCTCCGGCAGCGTGTGGAGGTGGCAGCGGCGGCGAGCGGTTGGTGGATCACCGCAACACGCAGATGCTGTGGACCCCGGCTGTCCCGTCTGTATGGGATAGAGTGTTTCCCCCTCGCACGCGCCGGCTTTCTCCGGGTGCTCCGGTTTCCTCCCACATCTAAACACTCATCGTTAGTTGGGCCGATGACACCTCGATACGTAGAGGACCGCAGAGCTTGGTGGGCGATCGTTGGTCGCGCCGGCTCCTCAACACCACGTGGCTGCTGCTGCTGCCTTCCCACTCATCGTCTGTGGCTCCTCCTCCCCCTGGCGCCTCCTCTGCGTCGTCCTCTTTCTCTCTCCGAGTCGTCCTCTCTCTCTCTGAGTCGTCCTCTCTCTCTGAGTCTTCCTCTCTCTCTCTGAGTCGTCCACTCTCTCTCTGAGTCGTCCTCTCTCTCTCTAAGTCGTCCTTTCTCTCTCTCTGAGTCGTCCTCTCTCTCTCTCTGAGTCGTCCTCTTCTCTCTCCAAGTCGTCCTTTCTCTCTCTCTGAGTCGTCCCCTCTCTCTCTCAGGCGTCCTCTCTCTCTAAGTCGTCCTTTCTCTCTCTCTGAGTAGTCCCCTCTCTCTCTCTCTCTGAGTCGTCCTCTCTCTCTGAGTCGTCCTCTCTCTCTAAGTCGTCCTTTCTCTCTCTCTGAGTCGACCCCTCTCTCTCTGAGTCGTCCTCTCTCTCTGAGTCGTCCTCTCTCTCTCTCTGAGTCGTCCCCTCTCTCTCTGAGTCGTCCTCTCTCTCTCTAAGTCGTCCTTTCTCTCTCTCTGAGTCGTCCTTTCTCTCTCTGAGTCGTCCTTTCTCTCTCTGAGTCGTCCTCTCTCTCTCTAAGTCGTCCTTTCTCTCTCTCTGAGTCATCCTTTCTCTCTCTGAGTCGTCCTCTCTCTCTCTAAGTCGTCCTTTCTCTCTCTCTGAGTCGTCCACTCTCTCTATCTCTGAGTCGTCCTCTCTCTCTGAGTCGTCCCCTCTCTCTCTCTCTGAGTCGTCCCCTCTCTCCATAAGAGTGATGATCGTATGCCGTGCAGCGGCGGCGACGCGGCGTTACGAGTTGACTTTATTTTTTAATCAGTTGACCGCCTGAGCGAGCAATTGCCTACGCCTTTCAGATAAAAACATGACGGTTTAATGCAGCACCGTCATTTATGCATCTGCACAATCGTTAACACACTGAGGTGCGTAAGTGTGTGTCTGTGTGGGAGCGGTAGTGGAGCAGTTAACGCGCTGTGCTATGAACCCGGCCACCCGAGATCCATTCCCGCTCACGGCCAACACCAGTGACGATTATCTGAACCGGTCCTGGGCCTCCTCTAGGTCGACTCAGCCTCAAATGAGTACCTGGTGCGGTGTGTAAACATCACCACTAGGGAGACAAAGGCGGCCGGGCGTGTTGCTGGCCACCCACCCCCTCGTGTACCGTGCCGGCCTTCATAGGCGCTCGCTCACAGTCCTTGCCCCGACAGTCTGTTAAACACTATACGGGGGACCTTTGTCTTTGTTCATATTAAGGCGTTATCGGCCGATGAATGAGTGCGTCAAGGGGCAACGCTTGGTCCCGTCGGGAATGGCCGCATGATGCGACTCGCCACTCTTGGCTGCTGCTGCCATCTTCTGGTGACCCAGGGTATGGTTCCTCCTTGATGCCAGCCGCGGTGGAGAGGCGTCAACAACCTCGCCTGGTGTACAGGAGGTCGTGGGGTTGATCCCGACCCTGATATCTGATGTATATTGTGAGTTTGCGTGTCTCTCTCTCTCTCATCATCTACATCACCTGGTGTACAGGTGGTCGTTGATTCAATTTAGACCCTGACGCCTGCTGCTGTATATTTGGAGTTTGCTTGTCTCTCTCTCTCATTATCATCATCACGGTGGCTATGAGATACTCTTAGGTTTTTTCGGTAAAGTCACGTAGGTAAAAATTTAAATTAATTAAAGTAAAAAATAAAATCACGACGTTTCAGAGGCAACACAAGCTTCCATCTTCAGGTGGAACCATCACAGCACGATTGCTGTATCAAGTAAGAATGGCTATGAGATGTTAACGACCTCACCTGGTGTACAGGAGGTCGTTGGTTCAATTTAGACCATGACGCCTGCTGCTGTATGTTTGGAGTTTGCGTGTCTCTCTCTCATTGTCATCATGACGGTGGCTAGGAGATGTTAACTACCTCACCTGGTGTACAGGAGGTCGTGGGGTCGATATATTTGGAGTTTGCGTGTCTCTCTTCCCGTGGTCACGTGAATTTTTATTCAAATCTTTCGGTTTGTCCCTCTACATTAACTATCAACGTCACGCGTTTGGAGTGTTTGGCTGCTGACAATGATTTATGACCAGGTCGTTTTTTTAAAAGAGCGAATAGCTTTGTAAATAATAATAATAATATTTGGCTGGCTATTTGGCTGTACTAATTGGTGGCGGGTTTAACGACACATTTATATTCACGCGAGCTCACCCCAAAAAAACCTATATTATGAATAATACATTGTTTATAAAAACAAATATTCTGTGTGTGATCCTTCAAGCCCTCGCTGCTGCCTCCCCGCACAGCGTCGTATCCCGGCCACGTGCGGCGCGGCAGCGTAGCCACCACCGCCACCACCGCCTCCACTACCGCAGCCGCCACCGCCACCACCACCACTGCCACCACCACCGCCACAACCGCAGCCGCCACCGCCACCACAACCACTGCCACCACCGCCACCGCCACCACCACCACCACCGCCACCACCACCGCCACCACCACCGTCACTGCTACTACTACCGCCACCGCCACCATCGCCCCCGCCGCCACCACCACCACCACCACAGCCACCACCACCGCCACCACCACCGCCACCGCCACTGCAGTCATCACCACCGCCACCACCACCGCCACCGCCACCGCAGTCACCACCACCGCCACCACCACTGCCACCGCCACCGCAGTCACCACCACCGCCACCACCACCGCCACCGCCACTGCCACCACCACCACCGCAGCCGCCACCACCACCACCGCCACTGCCAACGCCACCGCCACCACCACTGCTACCACCACCAACACCGTCACCACCGCCACCACCACCGCCACCACCACCACCACCGCCACCGCCGCCACAACCACCGCCACCGCCGCCACAACCACCGCCACCGCCGCCGCCGCCACCGCCACCACCACCAACACCGTCACTGCCACCGCTACCACCGCCACCACCGCCACCACCACCGCCACCACCACCGCCACCGCCACTACCGCCACCACCACCGCCACCGCCACCACCACCAACACCATCGCCACCGCCACCGCCGCCACCGCAGCCACCGCAGCCGCCACCCTTGTGGCTTGCAGCGCTTTGTCCGCCGTGAGATGCTGTTTTGACTCGGAGACATTCGAGACGCCGGCCACGCGTCGGGAGACGTCGCCCTCAGGGGTGGCATTCTTGGCAGGAGAATAATAATAATAATACTACTCTCTGGTTCTTTCGGTAAAGTCACGTAGGTTTAAATTAAAATATGCTGAGGCTATGGGCAGTGCTGAGTCTATGGGTAGTGTTGAGTCTATGGGCAGTGTTGAGTCTATGGGCAGTGTTGAGTCTATGGGCAGTGTTGAGTCTATGGGCAGTGTTGAGTCTATGGGCAGTGTTGAGTCTATGGGGAGTGTTGAGTCTATGGTAAGTGTTGAGTCTATGGGTAGTGTTGAGTCTATGGGCAGTGTTGAGTCTATGGGTAGTGTTAGTCTATGGGCAGTGTTGAGTCTATGGGCAGTGTTAGTTTATAGGCAGTGTTGAGTCTATGGGCAGTGTTGAGTCTATGGGGAGTGTTGAGTCTATGGGCAGTGTTAGTTTATGGGCAGTGTTGAGTTTATGGGCAGTGTTGAGTCTATGGGCAGTGTTGAGTCTATGGGCAGTGTTGAGTCTATGGGCAGTGTTGAGTCTATGGGCAGTGTTAGTTTATGGGCAGCATGTAAGTATGTTGAACTTCTTTCGCACCGTACGTAGCCCACCGCGCTAATCGGAGCTGCCGGGGGAGTGAGTTCCAGTGGATTTCTGCAGCGAGGGGGCGAGAATATCCGGAGGACGACCGCTTTTGATCTTCCCCGCAAAGTGGTGATCATTTGGCGGTTGTTCTCATCCACTTGGGAGGGAGGGGCGCGCGATGGGCCGAGTGACCCCCCCCCCTCCCCCGGAGAGCAGCGGTGCGATTTGAACTTCGCCAACTCTTTTTGTCCGATTGATCGCGACGCCGCTCGCTCCCTGCGAGTGAAGTGTCCTGAGCAGGATCGTCGTCGTCATCATCATCATCGTCGTCGTCGTCGTCATCCCTTGCACCAAGTCACTCATCAGCATCATCATCAGCCGTGTTCTACCCACTGCTGGATGAACCCCGATCGTTGCCGCCATCCTTGCAGGGCGATGATGAGAGGCGACCTCTCATCATCGTCATCGCTACACCCCCCCCCCCTCCCGATTTCCTGTCAGGCACGGAGCTCCCTCCTTTAGCTGCCGTTCCCAGTCCGGCCTCGCTCGTCTCGTCAAGTCACTCCGGTGATGCTGTTCCAAGTCTGTTCTCTAATCCGCACGCTCTCCTCTCTCTCCTCTCTCTCCTCTCCCTCCCCTCTACTCTCCCTCGCCACTCTCTCCTCTCCCTCCCCTCTCTCTCTTTTTTTACGATCAGAGGAAACAAGAAGATGCTCGGTGTAGTCGGCACTTTGCTTCGTTCATCATTTTTTAAAATTTCACCTCTCTCTCTCGTCTCTCCTCTCTCTCCACGTCTCTCGCTGTAATTCTCCAAACGTGCTCCCCCCCCCCCCCTTCGCGTCTTCTTCTCATTCTTTGCCCTACTTCTCAGCTTTCGCCCAATTTCGCTTTTGGTTTTTTGGCGACGATTCTCATCCCCGCGTCTCTCTGTGATCCGCCCTCTGTCGCAGCCTCAATCCGAGCCAACACAGCCACCACGCACAGCGTAGCAGCAGCAGCCCCGTCTATAAATACAC